CCATTCACTGAATCCGATTAAAGGAGGAAGATGCGGAAAGGTGCTTGGTTCTGTTGTGGGGTTGTTGGGGTGGTTTTTTTTTGGCGAAATGCTGGATTTGGGTAATATATGTCACTGTGCTTCATAGAATTTAGATCCGACCCAATTATACACAGGAAACTGGTCTCAGCGCGGTTGCTAACAGTAAACGCTACTGCCTAGAATGTCTTGTTCTTCCCCTATTCCCGCTTGGCTACTGGACAGACATGATCAGCACGTATGCTCTCTTGCACTTAGACTGGTAGAAAACAAAGATGCTTTGGGGCATTTTTTTTTTTTAATCTGCAAAACATCTGTGCCGCTTTCTGCAAGCTGTGTCAGACATGGATATCTGAAGTGCTTTTCTGCAGCATCACACACAGTGTTGTTGTGTTTTTCTCCTCCTTTCTTTCTTCTATCGCTTCTCAAGCTGTATTACACGTTATTAGACAGCAGCCGCTGCAGTCTGTCTGAACCGCCGGGCTGACATACGGGATGCTGGCAGCTCCCTTATTTGCCGGGGCCAAGCTCTGGTCAGAGGAAATAGGCTGAAAATGTGCAGGATGTGATTGTCAGGGACGTGAAATTGATCTGTCAGTTACTGGGTAATTTAGATACAATGCACCAAACAAGAGGGAGGTGTGTGTGCGTGCGTGCGTGTGTGTGTGTGTGTGTGTGTGTGTGTGGTATGACAATAATGAGTAGGCGGGAGAGGGCGGAACAGCAGGTTGTCCAGAAGGGCAGCTTCAATTGCTTACAAGACAACCAGGACATAAATTGCTACACATATCTTCATTGACTTTCCACCGCTTTCCTGCGTCTTAAGCCGTTCCTTCCCACCCCACAGCCCAGAACGGTTCAAAAGAGGCTTGCCTTAGACTAGAAAACAAGGTGGTTTTCATTGAGGACTCCTTTGTTGAGATTTTTGCCAAGGGGAACCCTATCTGCAATTGCAAACTGGAGACAGGCCTCCTGGATCCTAATCAGCCCACGCCAATTATCTCTGTGCTTGCTTAATTGGTGTAAACAATGCTGATTTGCAATAAATAAGCAGGAGCTGGCTTCAGCCGACTCAGGTATTTCTGCACGCTCTGCCTTCGTAAATAATCTTCTGCCAGCAAAGCACTTGTCGGTTGCAAAACCATTGCCGGCGTATGCTTTGGAGCCCCATCTCCACGGTCTGGGTATGCTGTGGTCTTATTTGTCCTACAGTGCAAGTGAAGCCAAACGCATAGCGTGATGTGTCAGGGTGTTCTCCTCTGTGAGCTCAAGGTGCACGGGGGAAATCCAGTTGTGTTCTTGCAGGCATGCAAGGCACCTGCAGAACCTTGGCAAGAACCCTGCGGTTAGCTTTATGAGCAGTTGTCCTTGCAAGCGCCTAGGTCCGTTGCAAGCCTCATATGTTTTGGCAGGACCATGTTGCAGTTAGCCCTCCTTCCCGGAGGAGCCGACTGCCTGTAAAGGGTTGATTTCTTGTTCTTCTGGCTTTGAAGACATAAGGGTACTGTGGGAAACCTTCTCCGAATCAGACGAGCAGTGAGGGTCCTGAAGATAGTTCTGGTAGCTCTCCCCTCCCCAAAACAGAGCTGAAGCCTTATCGCCCTCTGAATACATTGCACAGATTGTTAGCCTCTGTGTCATAGGTCAGGTGGGACCACCGCTGCATTTGAAGCCCCTGTGCTCCTGCCATTCGGGGTGGAAAGTGGGCATCTGGGGCTCTTGTGGGGTTGGGCTGCACCAGCTCCAGACTGACACAGCAAATGAGCTCAGATTGGACCCTTCACCTGGCAATGGGCTCCTTGGCTTGCCCAGTTCTGCCCCTGCCCCCACAGTGCCCTGTTTCAATGCATTCTGGACCTAACATGAGCACCTATCAGTGGTGTTCCTCTGTGCCAGTAGAGGGCGGTGATTAAGGGCCTGCACTTCATCCTACGCCCCCTGCCATCGCCACCAGGGGCTTAGAAGTGCTTCCAAAGTTAGTTGAACTAAGGCTCAATTGAAATCAATGGGATAACTTGGCCATTATTTATTTTGAAGAGAAGTCAACTACCTTAGGTTGAATCCAAACCATTGTATGTATGCAAGCATGTACAGTGGTGCCTCGCAAGACGAAATTAATCCGTTCCGCGAGTGTCTTCGTCTAGCGGTTTTTTCGTCTTGCGAAGCAACCCTATTAGCGGCTTAACGGATTAGCGCTATTAGCGGTTTAGCGGCTATTAAAGGCTTATCGGCTTAGCGGATTAGCTGCTAAAAGGCTATTAAAGGCTTAGCGGCTTAGATAAAGGGGGGGGAAAGCGAAAAAAAAATCTCAAGACTCGCAAGACATTTTCGTCTTGCGAAGCAAGCCCATAGGGAAATTTGTCCTGCGAAGCAACTCAAAAACGGAAAATCCTTTCGTCTAGCAGGTTTTCCGTCTTGCGAGGCATTCGTCTTGCGGGGCACCACTGTATCTAGCTAGCTATCTAGCTGTCTGGCTATCTAGCCAGCCAGCCATTTTATACACAATATTACCAGTTATGAGAAGGTTTATACTGAAAAAAAAGTATTTTCTGAAGTTTTAAATGACAGATCTGCAAGGACTACTAGATGCCAGTTGGTTTCTGCTTGTGGATCTCTTTAAAAATCACATTGAGGAAAATGTAACATTGGCAAAAAGAAAAAAGAGTCTTCAACATCATTTTTCAAAATGCAATAAACATAGGGCCTCATAATTCTAAAGTTTGCTGTTTTTGGAATACGTCGGCTTGATAATATCTTTGTCTAAACATTTTTCAGTCTCTTTCAGAAGACCAGGTGAAAGAGATTGCTCTTCAGGGAGTATGGTTGTCTTGTTTTGACAGTCAAAGCACAAAGACTCCACAATAAGAGAACATAAGCGTTTTATTTTTCTCCACAAGCAATGACATTTTCCAGACTCACCATTATCGCCTTGATAAATGCCCTGGAAGTAAATACAAAATATATTAAGTGCACAGTTAAAAAAATCCATTTGTTTTCTCTAGTAGGAAACCTTAAACTATATTGTTTTCTGTTAGATGATGTAATTTGGCCTTTTCACATTTCTCCCACATGCGTTCCACTTCAAGGGAGAATTAGAAGGCATTCTTTTTAACCATCCCATTCCCCCACCCCACCCCACTGACTTTTCTTCATTCCCGCTGTAGCCCTCACCTAGAATCTCTGCTTCCTTTACCTCGTCACTGGTTACCAGAGCAACCACACTGCAACTCTGGTGCCAAGACGTAATCTCACAAAAGCTACCTTAGCACAGATCTTGTCAGGTGCCGAATCTTGTTTTAAATACTGAATGCTGATAGTGTTGGAATTGGGATCAAATTCCAACCCCTTGCATGTAAAAATTTGCATGCATTGTGCCATGATGATGGGCAGAGTACCTTGCATGATGTACCTGCCATTTCATCTCCTTTGTATGCATGTTAATCGCAGATTACATGAATGTTAATGTCAGCAGTGTTTAGACCATAGCTTATCATCACATGAATAGGCCATGCGTCAACTCGGACTTGCAAACTCCTCCACTCTTCTTGCCTTCCAATTCAGTTCCAGCCTTTCCTTTTTTTTTATCAACCATGGCTTATTGTGTGGTCCAAATCCAACAAACTGTGGTTAATGTAAATTGTGCTTTGTTTGACATAAACCAACATCAAGCCATGGTTTGTGATGTTGACTTTCTTCAATGTATGTTTGCCATCTTGCAGAGGCGGGAAGCAGGGAGGTGTTTTTAAAAGGTGGGATGCAAATTATTCAAATAAACCAAGAAGACCATGAATATCTTCTAAACTGATGCTCTGCTAATTGCCTTAATTTATATATTTATCCTCAGCTACAGCCCCAGTCTAGTAGTACAACTTATCCTAACTTCCAGACCACACATGGAAGGAGTTTTGTGTGGGACTGTAGTCACAATTTCAGACAGAAAGCCACATTAGTAGCCTGTGGCATGAAAAACAATTTAAAGAGTTTTAAGCCCCTTACAAATCCTCTCTTGTCTCCCTCCTTTATGGTTTATGGTTATCATTTTATCATTTATATTTTATTATTTATATAGTGCCATCTGGATCCATTGTACTTTCCAAAGTAAAAGAGGAGAGGTTTGTGCCAATTGGCAGAAGGAAGGAAACGGGGACAGGATTGGTGAGGTGGCCTGCATTTTATTTGTGTTACAGAGCCTTAGTTACAGCTGGAAAGGAGACAAAGGGGTTGTCCCCAAGGTTTCCCAGGGAACAACAGAGAGAGGTGCAGACAAAACCACCTGAGAAGTCTTCTTTCTGCTTAGAGAAATCTAATAGAATCTTTACAACGCGAAGAGTTCAGTGATTGGTCAAAGGCTTTTCTCCTCCCAAATTAGACATCCTCCCTCCCTCCTCCACGGTCTACAAAGAATTTAACAACTGAGGCTCATGCATTGTTTCCTCTGCCCCCCTCCCCCAGTTCCCTTCAGCTGAAATTGATTTGAACAAATTAAATTACATGCCAACACGCCCACACGATTACCGCTAGAGCACAGCTAGAATGGTGTCTTTCTTTGGGGGGCGATTGCAATAACATTATGCTTGGTGGAGCTGTGAATGGAGGAGATGAAAGAATGCCTCAATTTTCACTAGTGCCCATGAAATGTGATAAGTTAAACAAGAACGAGGTTTGGCAAAACGCTAGGCAAAAAAACAAAACCCAACAGAACGGCGGGGAAGGGAGATGAAAGGGGAACTTCAAACAGATGGCCATCTAGAAAACATTGGATAGAAGGTTTGCCACGGTTTGGGACAAGATCACTAAGCTGTGGGAAGCCATAGAGGACACGACGCGAAACAGCAGAATAAACCGTCCTGGAAAATCTGTAGTTTTCGGTTTTAAAAATCAGAGTTAAAACTGGATGCCATAATCTGCTGGAGCACAGCTAGGCACTGGCTAACTGCAAATTGGTCTTTTATTGCCAAACTCTGGTGTTCCTGGCGTCTACTACCTGGATAGCTCAGTGGGTTAGAGCATGGTACTGGTAACACCAAGGTCGTAGGTTTGAGTCCCATATGGGGCAGCTGCATATTTAACCGTGCTCTGTGCGAATGAGTACTTTCTTCTGTCTGCCCCAGACCTTCCAACAATCAACTTCATTGGGTAGCCCTGGTTTTTAGAATTATAAGAGGGAGAAAAATGTAAACTCTTATAATTCTGCCCAGATTTGAAGGGAGCAATTATCTCAAGTGTGCTACCGCCTGACAGCGCTCAGGCATTTATGGCGTACGTTGTGAAATAGACGGTTTTATCTGTCTATGCCCCTAGGACTTTTCTTAAAGGACAAGTTCACTATCTTCCCTAAACAGTTCATGCAAGTGTATAAACGTATGTGCAAGTGCACACCAGCTTTGCTCTCGATCACCTAATGCTGAAACAACTCACAGCAGCTTGTGGATGTACACTAAACTGGGCCATTGAGCATCTTTATTTCCTGAGCCACCAAGGCGACATTATTCTAATTATTTTGCCACAAGTCTTGCAAGCTGGACTGTATTCCTCATGAGTGTCATGTAGCCTGTAATGGCAGATGATTTGGAACTCAGCTGAGATTTACGTGCTGCTCCCTCACTTGGTTTTCCTTCGCTGCGGCTGAAAATAGTGCAGCTTGATAGGATATATACCCATATCCATCAGATAACAAGCAATTCATAGAATCGTAGAGTTGGAAGGGACGCCAAGGGTCATCTAGCCCAACCCTCTGCAGTGCAGGAATCACACCTGAAGAATCACTGGGAGATGTCCATCCAACCTCTGTTTAAAAACCTCTGATGAATTGCAAGCGGTGACTATTTTGTTCAGGCTTCCTCAACCTCGGCCCTCCAGATGTTTTGAGACTACAATTCCCATCATCCCTGACCACTGGTCCTGCTAGCTAGGGATCATGGGAGTTGTAGGCCAAAAACATCTGGAGGGCCAAGTTTGAGGAAGCCTGATTTTGTGCGTGCCCAATTGACGTGTGCCTGCTGATGCTGGACTGGAAGAGGGCAGAACGGGGGTTGGAGCAGGCTTATGCGAGCTCTGCCAATGTCCATGGGGCCCAGGAATGGAACCCCCACACAAAATGGTTGCCACCTAAATAGGTGGACACCTATGTCCTGTATAGGCCACTCGCCGCATTGGACACAAGATAACAGTTTCTTTCTAGGAAGGCATACAGAGGGCAGTGCAATAAATCTTCTAAGTCCTCTCCTCAGCCATGTTCCCAGTTAAGAACCAAATGCCAGGCTAAACAGGAACATCTTTGCCTAGTGCCTAAAAGTTGATAATGATGGTACCAGGCACATCTTTCTGAGGAGAGTATGCCACAATTGGGAAGGTCCCTTCTTCCACTGCCTCCCTGCATTCAATCCATATTCAATCCATTATATTCTCACTTGCTTCTCTGGGTGCATGGTGCATTTGTTCATGCTTCCAGGAAGGCTGTTTTGTTATGTGCTGTTACAGGGCAGTTGATACTATTTCTGTGTTGTTGTTTTTAATTTGGACAGTTGCCTCCTGGAACCTTTAGCCCAGCCATAGATTTTTGCAGTAGCGGTCAGGTAATTAGGTCAGTAGGTAGTTGGTAATGAGATTTAAGTCCATCACTTATACTTGCTGGATATCAAATTAATACTCCAGGGAAGGGGGAAAAACACCTCAATTTTTTTGCCATCACCCCCCAAGCCTCTTAACAGCTTAACTCCACAAAGAAGAGTGAAGCTGTATGAAGTGTCTGAGGAGGAGAACAGGGAGAGGGTTTGGGGAAATATATTTTGCAATAGATTGGATAAGGTTTAGCAGGGAGATAAGCGTGTAAACAGTGGGTCATCTGGGAAGGAAGCTTCCTTTGGGTTGGAGAACAGAAGATACAGCCCATATGCAAAGGAGAAAAACTGCCAGGCTAGGTGAATATGCTTGCATTGCTCATGCATCCTAGTGGGATTTTCTGAAGATCTTCCAAGAAATGTTGATTTGTGCTTTTTCTGTTTGAGCCACTGGAATTACCGGGTCTGTCTCTCACATGTTCTAGAACTGATGTGTCTCACTATCGTCTTGCTGTTATTAATTTATTAAGGTACTAATTATTAGGGCCTAAATAGCAATAAAAGTATTAACTTCTCTCTCTAGTCGACTGATAGGCTGATCTAAAGCAAAGCACAGAGCACCCATCTGCCATTGTCAGAGTGGTCATCATTGTCAGAGACTGGAAGCCTTAGAGTAGTGTAATGACTTTTCAAAGGCTTAAAATGAGTGACTGCAATAATCCAATTCCCCCATTAACCTGTCTATGGCTGGCTGTGGCTTAAAAGGTCCCTTTAACCACTTGAGGGGTATAAGTGAGCATATTCAAGGGCTTTCTTTGACCTAGAGGTTTTCTGTTGCCAGCCACTAGTCTATCCTGAATAGTTAATTTGCAGTGTCTTGCTGAGCAACCCAAACCACCATTACACCAAGCCTGGTGTATGTGTGGCAGATGTGTTCCTCTGCTCACCACTGGAGTGACATAATCAACCCTGGAAACAGCTTTGATATTATGTGAAGATTTGCAGAGGTGTAGGAAAGTAAGAAATTGGTATAAAAACAGTTGCTAAATATGCCAGTCAAATTTGCTGTGAAGGCATTGGTGTGGAGTGGGGAAGCAAGGAAAAAACAGTCATTCCTGAAGATATATCTGTATGCATGCTGCGAGTCTTTCAATGTGAATTTGAGACGACTGTTCTTCCCATATATCACTTATTTTGTTCCGATGACTGCACCAATGCCCTTGGGTCTACTGAGAGCACATTCGCAATGGTGTTTATTTAATGCTAAACAAACAGAATTATCTGAATTTATTTCAGCGATGTCGGCTTGACGTTAGGCATATAAATTCCACTCATCCTGGATCTCATGGCATTTCTTGTGACTCTGGAGAAAGGCAAATCTCCAAAAACAACACTCTCAATATTGGGAGTTCGCTGGTAGTTCCACTGACCTTTGTGCCACTGTTCAAGCAGGTTGGTGCTATCAACCACTGCCAGTATTTTGTTTTAGCTGCCTGCTGCTATATGATTGCTCCAGGCTGCAATATTAAGATACATTTACAATCGCATTGAATTTATCAAAAAGGATGCTGCCAAAGTATTTCTGTTTCCTTAAAGCTAATTTTAATTGCCTTCTGCTGGCAAACAGTAGAAAATACTGCCAATGTTTCCCATGGCTTAAGAGATGGCAAAGGTACTAAGAGTTTGTTGGCAACACCTTATTGTTCTCCCAAAACGATAAAAAGAAATACAGTGGAACCTTGATTCTAGAATGGCTTAGTTGATGAGCAAATGGGCTCCTGAATGCTGAAGACTCGGAAGAAAGTGTTCCAGTTTTGGAATATTTTTCGGACGCCGAATGTCTGATGCGGTTGTTGGCTATTGTTTTCGGGGTGCCTGCGCCAATTGGAAGTCAAGCCTTGGTTTTTGAACATTTTGGAAGTCGAACGGACTTCTGGAATGGATTACGTTCGAGATCCAAGGTACCACTGTATAGTAAAAAGTCATTAACTGTTAGGTGAAGACAAACCATTAACGACTTTTTCCTATTGACAAGCCAATGTCATTTTGTTGTCCTGCATAAATCCCTACAAATTTACCGGTACTTGTAAACTCCTTGCCATATCAGCTTAAATAAGGGCACAATCCAAACTCACCCCTCCTACCCACAGGGCACTGAGGATCCACTGCTGCATCCTCAGCAACAGTAAACCCAGTGCCAACAGGTGATGATGGCAGGGAGACTGACTAAGGAGGTAGAAGATCCTAGGCCAGCTCAGTCCCCCCCTGCTGCACCCTTCAAATGACCTATTTAGGGACTTTCCACTGGCTCCTTCCAACAAGGTGAAGCCTGTTGGACCCCCACCCCGTTGCTGGCCTTGGACTCAGGTATACTACACACACACCCAATCCCTACAGGACCTAGTAGCTTTGGGCCACTCTATTGCATTTGCCTCTCCCAATGCCCTAGAAGTTGTGGTGCTCCACAGCATTCCAGGAAGGAAAATGTGGCAAATTTATTAAAATTATAAATCTATAAATATATATATTTAAATTAAATTAAATATGGCAGCCAGAAGCCACTTGACACTGAAGCACCATACCAAAAAAAAGTTGTTGTTTTTGTTGTTGTTGTTGTTGGTGGTGGTGGTGTTTAACAGTTGTTCATAGTGGCACAGGGGTTAGGTTACACAGTCTGTTTGCTTTTGTATGTATACTCATTTGAACATTGGTTTTTTTCTTTTTAAAACAAGTTTTTTAAGCTTGCTTCCACATCAGCTGAACCACTGAATGTTTATCCATATGTGTTACTTTATTATTTGCAGAAAAGAAATCTACAGTCTGATATGACACATATTTTCCAATACTGCTTTGAGCAAAGCTGACAAATTTGATGCATTGATTAGATGGCACCACCCAAATATTTTTTTTGTGTGTGTGTGTTTGTGTGTCTGTGTCTCTCTCTGTTTTGCATCTGGCATAATTATGGCTGTTGCTTTAATCTCAGTGGGATAGCTAGAAGTTTTGTACATATTAGGCACCAGAACTATTAGAATGCTTTATTTTTTTTTAAGTCAACCCATTTTGAGACTTAAGTACAAGGTAAGCTAAAATCTAAATAAAATACAGCAGCCATAAGAAGAGTGGATGTGTACAGGTGTTCTTTGCAGCTGCCCAACAGGTACATTACATCCTTCCCATGGAGGGTCACTGGGGCCGTTTCTGTTTAGGACGCTCTCCACTGGAGTGGACAAATCTTTGGGGAGTTTGCACCCTGAACTGTACCATTACGTAAAGCAAGCCAGCATGTTGTGAATTTGTGCTCTTGCGATCCAGGTCACTGATACTTGGTGCTAGGAGTGGCAGAAATGATTCTGTGGTCGCCCCAGTCCATGTGGTGAATTATACTAAATTTCAGCAGGTAAAGTAAATAGGTAAAGGACCTCTGGACGGTTACGTCCAGTCAAAGGTGACTATGGGGTTGTGGCACGGAACACCATGACGGAAGCCAGAGTGC